TTTTCTCGTACACCGATGAATCGCTAATCCACATTGAGGACGGGGGAACCCAACCACCCTTGCCCTCCTCCTCGACAGCTTCCACTGGCGTGAGGATTTCGGGCACAATGTGAGCGATCGTCTTGGACGTCCGCGTGTTGATGAGGTGGTAGGACACTTCCCGCAAATCTCCTTCTTTCCTGCACTCTTTCTTCCATTGGTATTTCGTGGACCAATACTCAAACTCGTACCGCTTGCGTATCCCTGCGCCTCGCCTCTTGACCTCCGCATGCGCATAATTAGAAAACTCTAACACCGTTGTATCTGCGAGAGCGACTGGGCGACTGGGACACTCCTTGGCATCTGCTGTTGCATCATCCAAATTCGCATCTTCCTGCTTGATCGAGTGATATCCCGAGTCGTGGCGCTTATGTTCGGCGCCAGCTATCGATCCATTCCCACTCGACCCAGGCCGCAAGCTTGCCAACACACTGCTCCAGGAGCGCCGGAGGATGGGCCTCTTGTCGATACTGGACGATCTGGGCCTCCTTTCCGAGCGACAGATCTCACGACCAGACTCCCGACAGTAGCGCCGAAATGAGAACTTTCTCGAGAACAAGTCATACATGCGGAGATGAAAGAGGATTACATCTTGTTGATAGCCGCCCCTTCGAGGCACTAGAGTGTCGATCCGTAGATTCATATTACCATCTAGTGTGGAATCATCGTGCCGAATCAGTAGCCGTCGGGATGAGGGGAATAGCTCTGCAAAGGTGGTTGGGTTGGAAGGGATCGCGTCAGTGGCATAGATCTCCGGCTTTCGGTCGATAACCTCATATTGCGGGTCTTCTGGTAACTCGTCGGTCGATGGAATCGTGGATGCATACGTTGATGTAGAATCCCTAGGGTCCATTGTGAAGCGATCCGTTTCTGGCCGTCGCTTAGATGTGGGCCGATAGCTGTAGACCGTAGGGGCCGTGCTTTTCGACCGATCCGAGGCTTCGCTGTCGGTCGAACTAGAGCTGCCTCCTGTTCGGGCACAACGATCTTGACACGATAATGCACTGTAAGATTCCATGATGTCTTTGAATGCGATAGTGCGAAAAAAAGATGCGTCGGGGTTCTGCAATGTCAGTCCCGGCAAGCGAAGTGCAGCAGAGGTGTTTTTGTTCAAAGGCCTCCAACAGGCAGGTATCAAAGGTACCAGATAATAATAATCCCAAAAAGCAAAAAAAACAAAAAAAAAAAGACGATGGTACAAAATAGGTAGGGATAGAATATATATAAATAAGTGTTATGCAAATCAGATCACAATATCCTTTCACTTCTTATGGAACAGTCGCCCAGCCCAGGTTTTCGTGTATGACACAGCATCCAGTCGGATACGCTCATGAGGTGAGATGAGGCGAGGTAAGAAAATCCCAGCAGCTGAAACCAGACGAAAAGTAAGGATACTTCAGTCATACGATGGGGTGTTCAGATGCAAAGCCTCTTTCGCGTCTAAAGGGCTTAGAGAGTATGTTATAGGGCACGATCCCGAGGGATGGAGGGGCTTAAGGGAATGTGAAAGGAGGCCCGAGGGAGCGGTAGATAGCAGATGACGCCAGGAGTATTGGGAAGGGAGGCAGGCCAGGAGCCCGAACAAGGACAGTAACTGGTAGTATTGGCTGAAGAGGAAGAAGGAGAAGGCACTAGCTGGTAATAGTAATTTCTAGGGATTGAATAATCCAAGATCAGAAGAATAGATCAGGATAATCCAGCGTGGCGCAGGATTGTTTTGGCGGTATCAAGGTAGTAGCCGTGTTGGTTGTGTTGGAGGGCAACGAGGGAGAATGAGAGGAACGCATCAAGGAATGAACAACAATGATGAAGGGCTATGGAGAAGAAGGGAGCCACGTCAATCCAGTCCGGTCAGCGTTTATGGCTCAGCTTCGAGGCGTCCATAGTTCGGTCCCATTTGTGATATTCTTGTGATCTCCTGTCGCGGGTGATTACTTCGGAAGAGAAAAGACAGAATTGGAATATTTCATTCGTTCATCAACCCCACGACAGTATGGGGGCCTAAATCTAATCTGTTAATGTGATGCTCGAGGCTCAGCCATCTGATACTTCAAGTACAGCCTCGATCTATCCTCCTTAGGGTCTATTTAGGTTTTTTTTTACGTCGATGAAGCCGAAGGTTATTGCGATGGGGCTATTCTACAGCTACCTCTTACTGTGAGTACCTAATAAAAGCATCATCAGCCCAAGAAATTAACGACATCATCGCTAGAAGCAGCCTGACAAGGAATAAGACCTCTACATCCGAGGAATGAGGCCTCGAAACATCCTCTCAACTTTTATTCGCGCCTTACTTTCAGTCACTGCAACCATTTCGTTCTGGAAGCGACCATAAAAGAGGTGTGAGCGCTCAAGCTGACCAGCAGATGCTGGACCCTCTCCCAATAGGAAGATGATAACCGAAGATTAAGCCGATAAAGGCCGTTGTCAAGTGCCCTAATTCCTTGCAAATCAATGCAAATACAATATTCTCCGACCAGCCAAGCAGCGCGTGAACCAGGAGGATGGAAGCGGGCCAACTCGGAAACCGATTTTACATCCCACGCCTCGGAGAGTTGCCTGATTCGAATCCTAGTACAACGTGGTAAGGTTTGTTTGATTGGGAGAGAATCTTTACCACTGTGGTTGAGCGACATGTCACATGCTCAGTGAAAATCTCTACATTCGTCACTTCTCTTCAACCTCTTTTCATCTTCATCGACAGATTTCTAATTAGCAGTGCCGTCTAACGATCATGGCGCCAGGACACTAAGGCTCTTCTTTACCATGGAACTGACTGGGGGCCTTCGGATCGGACCGAAATTAGACAGTATGAGAGTACTCCGTACGACGGTCAACGCTCTCGTTCTTCAGAACACGGACCAAGTCTTCTAATGCCCCAAAAAGAAATGTCAACTGGAAGCGTTCATTGGATCGTGATCTTGGAAACTCCTAGAGTCTACGGCTGATCGCTCATAACTCCGATACCGGTATTTCTCCTCGTAGAAGGTGTGGCTTGCGAGTCAGCCTAAACTCATGCAGTGTGTTACTTGTAACTTGTGTATCATCCCATAGCCCCGAGCACGGAGCACTCGTTTGGCGGAGCAAACTACGGAGTGTGGGCGCTGATCTCCACTATTGACGGAGTCTGCAAAACCACTATCTGATGGATCTTGCCTTGGGTCCTTTCAGGGACAATATCAATTGGCTAGCAGCCAAGAATTACTCCATGGGAGGGATCATCACGATGATAAACCATACTAAGATACAAGAAGTTGTGCCAATAATGGTCCATTGACTGTATGCGTAAGATGCACTGATATTTCCCAAGGCACCTATGCATCCTTAGATCGGCCCATCACCATCCCACTGCCACCTGGCAGTCTTTGTGGCTTATGCCACGGTACAGAGTGCTGGTGCGCCGAACTACAGTAGGAATTTGGTCAACATCCAAAGTACATACATCGTATCTATTTACATCATATCGTGCCATCTCGTTCGCCAGCTAGACTTCAAACTGAGTACTCCGTAAATTAACGACGGGTCAAATTGGAGCCCAGATCCACGAAACCTTGCAACTGTTTTCTGTTTCTGGTAAAGCCTTCCTGGTGGAAGGTATACAATCGTTACACAGGACTCATTCCATGCCGACTCAATTCAATTCGATGGGATAATCCCTCAAGAGCGCTAGATATTCATAATCCCTGGAAAAGGATAAGTACATCCCAGATCCACTCTGTAAACTGCTCGACACACCGACAGCCGGCCTCGCGGCATTCAATGACCCACAAAACACAAAAAAACCGCACCATGACCACATACCATGCCAATGATGCCATCCATGATGAAACAGAAGAGAAAAGGAAGCAAGAGAGAAAACGCAAATCCCCCACACTAGTACCTCTCTAGGCATTCATCAGGTCATCAAACATACCGTGGGCTTGGAGCAAGGAGCAGTCCCGTCGATCTGATCGACGCAAATAGAGTTGTTGAGTCATGCGGAGTCATGTAGATATGCCATCATCAATTAGGATTGCTCGAGTGGTTTGTGCCATGGATGTCGGTAATGTCTGCACGAGTGTTGCTGAAGGTATCACCATGTTGATCTGTCTACTTACAAATTGCAGTCCATAACTTGTTTGTACGCTGAATAGTACGTCAGTCAGGCATGAGACTGCATCAGAGATCGTACAGCAAGGGGGTGTCCATGATTCTAGTGTTGATCTACCAGTTGCTCGCTCTCCGCAGTTACAGGAACTATCTGGCCCTGTGAGCTTCGTTGAATGCTGCCTAGTCAGTGCAGACAGGAGAGGTCTGCGACTGTGCATTTTCTAGCCCAAAGTCTGTAAGTGCAAAGAAATTAAATGGGATCTTCGAATGATAAGAAAGGGATGCCTTGCACGGCGGAGCTTCTGCAGAAATCTCCAAGTCTAAGACAGTTAAAATGACAGCAGCAATACGTCGCACGGACTTTGAGTATTCGAAAAGACGGTCAAGCTGAAGGGGCAGACAGATGACGATGCTTGCGTCGAGCATGATTCCGGTAAGCAGGCGGACATTGCAGCCATGCATGTTCATTAAGTCATGGAATATTCTGCTTGCTTCTTTGTCAAGGGAAACAGGATTGTGGTGAGCGTGTGGTAGGCGACAAAGTATCGCAATATTATCGCAATATACGTATGATCCAGACGGCCTAGAGAGCAGTCGAGGAAATTATTCCCGTCTGGTTCCTGCGACACGATAAGGGCCAGGCTATATTCAATCAGTTTACTGACTCTATGACTGATAACATCGTGAATGTGTAACATGGTATCGTGCACAGCTGACCAATCCGGGGAACCGTGTGTCTTACACAGACGTTCTATCTTACATCGGACTCACCGAAGTTTGTATATGAGTGTCAAAGGCAGCGTTTCACCAAGCCTCTAATCTAACCCATCTAAACCATATAACGATAGACATGAAATAAAATTCACCTACGCTCAGATCTGAGCCCAGAGTGGCTTCGGAAGGTCATCACCAGGCTTCATCATAACCCCTTGTTGGGAATTTGATGGGACAGACACCTGAGTCGTGAGCCCAGGTCGACTACCTGGCGCCGGCATATGAAACCCAACATAGGCCTCACGGCGGGCAGGTTTCCCCACCGTGATAGACCATGTATGCAGGCCGTAGTAACTCGCAATGGAATGAACGAGCCAGCGACTGACGAAGATAAGTATAGACCCAGCGGAAGATGGCATTCGAAACTTACCCAAAGCCAGCGGCCCGGTCATCAACCAGGCTCTCGAACACCATCTTCTCACCATCTCGCTCATTATGTTGGCTTAAATTCGCGCGCAGTTCTCGCAACCTTGTCTTGTGCTCAGGCGAGTCATGCATCTGTCCATTGCGCCCCACAAAGACAACTTCATCCTCAGATTCGTCCTCGGACGATGATGGTGCATCTTCCAAGCCTTCTTTTCGCAGCATCAGCTGCTTCTCGCTCCATGTCTGGATAAACTGTCTAATATCCTCTTCCAAATCCTGGAGCATCCCGCGAGCAGCACGTGCATGCTTCAATCTCATGCGAAGTTCCTTGGGAACGCGATGCTTCTCATGCCTCGTACCTTTAGGAGTCTGCTTAGAAGACGTCCGATCGAGTTGAGCATATTTCACGTCCCAGAGAGGTGCCAGATAGTAAGGCATGGGATCATGTCGCGGGTATGTCGGCTGTACCGCCCAGTCACTGGGCGCAGGAGGTTCAACCCAAGGGTTATGCAAGAGACGATCTTTGAGAGAAAATTCAATCAGCAATGACGCAAAATGAGGGGCGACGCGTCGCACTCTTTGGGGGAAAGGGATGCCTCGAATATCATGGCATCCACGTCATAAGCCAAGACATACCGTTCTCCCAACGTTGTCTGCGCCGACTTCCGTCCTTTCCTTTGAGGAGCGCTTCCCGTCTCTTCAGACTATCGCGACGGATAGGTTCTCGACGTCTGAATGAAACCGAGGCAACCGGTTGCGTCTCGGACTCACGAGTCACAAGCTTGACTCTGGGTACGGCTCCCGTATGCATCACAGGGACCGGGTCGTCCAGAGGAATAGATAGAGGAACCGAGGAGCCGCGCAGAGGGGAATCACGCGTCGAAATGAACTCGACATTTCTGTCGCTCGCCGATACCGACTCTGAGAGAGTCAAATTCCGCAGGGATGTAGCCGCCTGCTCCGACCAAGCTGAGATTGCTCGAGTCTGCTGCGGTGTCAGGCGTCCTTGTGAGTTGGCCTGGGATGGCAGTGTTGGATGGATGGCCATGCTGGAAGACGCGAGCGGGCTATCGATGGGTTCGGATGGATGGAGCCTATTGAGAGTGGCAAGACACCGGTCAGGGACAGAATGTATAGAACGCTTCGAGTCTGCTCAATGAATGACCTCTGGATCAACTGAGGAGAGAGGACGAGAGTCGAGTAGGAATGAGGAAACACGAAAGGAGCGGGGGATGGGGATGAAGAGCGATAAGGAACGTGAAGGCAGATAACCAGTTGTCGCGTCCGAAGCCGAAAATCGCGGGTCGTTACCGAAAGAGGAGTGGTACAAAACTTTTCTCGCCATTGAAAAAGGCCTCGGGTTGACTCACAATGGGGCACGGGTTACAGAAACACCCGTGATTGGTGCTTGGCTATACATGCCCTAGCCCTGATTACCGCTTCCAGCATCTGCGATCTGTGATGCTGGCTGCAGGTACCTCTCTACATCATCATCTCGTCGATCATGTTAATTCGAATACGAATCGAGTCATGCCAGTCTGATTCGGAACCATGGCGAGTAATGGTCATGTTTCGGTTTAAAGATAAGCTGTGGCGGCCCGAGTTGAATTTCATATCGTAATATATTCTGAGCATAGCTAAATATCCCGGTTTCACACGATGCTATGGTCGAAGGCTTAGAGGTTTCTCTTGCTCTTTCAGTATGTCTACTATCGCTATCTTACTGACTGTATCGTAGGTAATTTAGTGGTCGAGCCACCTGGACAATTGAGTTATGAGTAACATGTCCCAAAGTCGACCCTCATCCTCTCGTCAAAGCGGGCCAGGCTCATATCCATGCGGGGAAGTTTGTCAGCCTTGTCGCCTGAGGCATGTTGATCTGCGAGCGGAGTGGAGATCATGACTGACACGGTCGCATTCTCCAGTGAGTCACGAACGCTGCATGATTGAAGACTTGAAGCAATATACTCCCTGGTAGATAATGAGTCTATGGTGATTTGACACGAGCACAATGAGTGATCACCTCAGATGTCAATATCAGTCAAGACCCACAAATAGACAGAGGGCAAAAGAGCCCTTGGATCAAGGGACAGACATTATACAAGCCACAGGACTGACGGAGAGGTCAAACCATCCCCTCACGGAACCGGACTTGCTTGTTGGCCGTTGCTACCCTATTTTACTAAGGCAGTTTGCTACCTCTTAAGACTGAGGAGGTGTTGATTTAGGTTAAAATAATCTTACAATAATAACTAACCACCTAGGTCGACTTAACCAGAGTTCTGGAGATATTAAATTTAATTTAGTCCACTGCAGCGGCTAAGCTACCAACCTCGGCCCTGAAACTGCTCTATCGTTTATTATTTAAGCCAGCCGCCAGCGCTCACCTCTGGCTGGACTTGGCCAGTTGCTCGCGATAACCAGTCCATTATTATCCACCCAATCATCACGTATTCTCCGTCTATTTTGAGACAAAGGCGCTGGACCTTGCACTGCAGTCCCTTTGACTTGGAAAGGTCCTCAGCACACATCATTCAAACATCCTTCTTTCTCCTGCCTCACCAAAAGCTGTGTTTACACCGTTCGACTTCGAGGGCCACCAACATCAGTTATATCTTCTATATTGTTATCCGTCTTGTTTTATGAACTGCAGGCGATAAACCCATTGATTTACTATGAAAGTCCTCGCAGCTATTGCGCTGAGCGCAACAGCTTTCACAGGGGCTGTAGCTGCAGTGCTTACTCAAGAAGCATTCTTAAACAACCCTCGCATCCATCATGACCAGGAGAAGTACTTGATCGAACTGGCCCCTTATCGAACACGATGGGTGACTGAAGAGGAGAAATGGGCATTGAAATTGGTACCATACTTCCCCAAACCTTGAATCTCCAACTCCACGGGTGACTAACTGCACGATTGCACCAAGGATGGCGTGAATTTTATCGATATCACAGAAGAGCACAACACCGGGTTTTACCCGACTCTCCACAGCGCCAGCTATGTCAAATATCCGCCGAAGATGCAGTATGCAGAAGAAGTGGCTGCGCTTAGCAAGAATCTATCGAAAGAAAACATGAAGGCCAACCTGGAACGATTCACATCATTTCATACTCGCTATTACAAATCTCAGACGGGAATTCAATCAGCAACATGGCTGTACGACCAAGTCCAGAGAGTTGTCTCCGAGTCGGGAGCCGCTGAGTATGGTGCAACTGTTGAGCGATTCTCTCATCCATGGGGTCAGTTCAGCATTATTGCCCGAATTCCCGGCCGAACGAACAAGACTGTGGTGCTGGGCGCCCATCAGGACAGCATCAATTTGTTTCTCCCCTCAATCCTGGCTGCTCCCGGTGCTGATGACGATGGAAGTGGAACTGTCACCATTCTCGAAGCGTTGCGCGGTCTGCTGCAGTCAGACGCCATTGCCAACGGTAATGCATCCAATACTGTCGAGTTCCACTGGTACTCTGCAGAAGAAGGCGGAATGCTGGGCTCCCAGGCAATCTTCTCCAGTTACAAGCGGGATAGGCGGGAAATCAAGGCCATGCTCCAGCAAGACATGACTGGCTACATCCAGGGAGCTCTGAACGCGGGTGTCGAGGAAGCCATAGGAATTATGGTCGATTATGTCGACCAGGGCCTCACACAGTTTCTCAGGGACGTTGTTACAGCGGTAAGCCTCAGTTGTCCCGCACGGAAAGCTGTTTAGTCGACAAATGAAACTGACGAGCTGTATTAGTACTGTTCTGTGGGTTACCTGGAGACGAAGTGCGGATATGCCTGCTCCGACCACACCTCGGCCAGTAAATATGGTTATCCCGCAGCTATGGCGACAGAAGCAGAGATGGAAAATACCAATAAGAAGATACATACTACCGACGACCAGATCAAGTATCTGAGCTTCGATCATATGTTGGAGCATGCCAAGTTGACTCTTGGCTTCGCTTTCGAATTGGCATTTGCGCCGTTCTAATTCCTCTCATACTTTATTCCAGATGGAAGGAATGATTCGAGAATGCTTGTTTTACTTGGGTCACAAGGCGTTCGATGGTTTGGGTCATGGTTTGATTGGGACAACTTGCCATTCATGAGGTACTTCCTGTAGGCTGGTCACTCACAGACTTATTATACCGTTATATAAGCCTCATGGCATATCTATACACACGATGACAATGCGTCAACTTGTTTCCTATCTTTCACGAATTACCAGAATGCGAATAGAACTGTAGAAGCTAAATGTCACGTGACAATTGCGGATATCTTTGATGGGACCTTGATCGCCAACTATGATTGACTTAGAAGACAGCGGTGAGTCAAAAAGGTCCAGTCACAAGTTTCTGTTGTTTTCTCCTGCCGTGAATTTTCAGGATAGAACGTCATTTTCGATTGACTGTCCGTCCCACTGCTATGGAACAGTCCAATCGCCCACTGAGCATCGAATGAATATTTAATTCGTTTATGAGGTCATCGAGCCACCCGCTTAGTATCAAGATCACGTCCACTACAATTGCCAAGCAATTGTCTACAGCTCCTAGTGCTCCTTTCTGAGAAATCTCTGGTGTGATTCTGTCTCAATTGCCAGAGACAAGTGAAGCTCTTGAGACCCCAATTGACTGTCCTGCTTCGCTCCTTCCTGTTGGTCTAGGTCTTTTCATCCTTGATCACCTTCCTGATTTAGAGCAAAGTCAAATCGAATCACATAGGAGAAACAAGGACAACTTTCACTTTGAAACTCCATGTTTCCCCCTTGGAAGCTCAATTGTGGAAGAGGACCATATTTATCTTCGTTTTCTCTCTCTACATTGATATCATTTCTGTCATCATCATCGGCGACTTGCAGATTTGCTTCAGGTAGAATTTCGAACCGAACGACAAGCTCGGCTTGTCTGAATTCTGCATAATGGATCCCAGTTGTCCTTATTCCAAAGAACTACAACTTGCATGCCTCACGGTGCAACGGGCTGCACTATTGACGAAGAGATTGCTCGAGGCTGTCGACAAAGGATCTCTCGACAAGAGTGATTCCACGCCTGTGACCATCGCCGACTTTGCTGCTCAAGCACTTATCATTGGCGCTATCCACAAAGTCTTTCCTGAAGATGAATTTGTGGGTGAGGAGGACTCAAAGGCTCTCCGTGCAGATCCAGAACTTCTTGAGCGCACGTGGGAGCTCGCCTCTACCATTCATCTCGATGACAAGGACAGTGAAGCCCTTCTCTACGCTCCCAAATCCAAGGAGGAAATGCTTGACTTGATTGATCTTGGAGCTCGTGGCAAATGTAGCCTGGAGAGTCGTGCCTGGGTTCTGGATCCTGTCGATGGCACTGCGACTTTCATGCAGGGCCAGCAGTATGCGGTGTGCCTGGCACTGGTGGAGAATGGATGCCAGAAGGTTGGCGTGTTGGGTTGCCCGAATCTCAATCTTGCTACGGGCCGTCTTCGAGAGGATGTTGTGGATCGAGATGGCTACGGGTCTCAAGTCTTTGCAGTTGCTGGTCAAGGTGCCTGGATACGGAAGATGGGACGCGGAGGTCTGCTCGCTGCTGAGAGTATCGCTCAGAAGCCACAGATTACAGACCCGAAGGACCTCGATTTCGTGGACTGTGGGTCCGCCACATCATCTAATACCTCTTTGCATGCTCGAGTGGCATCGAAACTGGGTGCTCCGTGGCCGTACAGCACTGATCTCTGGGCTGCACAGTTGCGCTACATAGCCATCGCGGTAGGAGGCTGCAACGCTTTGATCAAGATCCCCCGTAAGGCATCTTATCGGTCTAAGATCTGGGATCATGCAGGCGGCATGTTGATTGCCGAGGAAGTCGGCGTTAAGGTCACCGATCTTGCAGGAAATCCTGTCGACTGCAGCTTGGGCCGAACCCTAGCTGAATGCTACGGGATGATCGTGGCTCCTCCCTCCATTCATGGGCGGATCGTTGAAGCCGTAAAGGAGGTCATGCAGGAACAGACCAAGTGATCGAGCCATTCGGGACAAAATGTTTTGCACTTTAGTTGACTACGTTTTGGTTTGGGTTATCGTCATAACGAGATTCTGCTCTCGCTGTGCAGGCTCACAGCGGTTAACAAGATTATCAATATCACCATTATTCAGCGCTAGAGGGTCATTGCGGCCACAGGTCTGCATCAGATAGATATGACGACGCACTGTTTAAAATTTGTCCAATGCAGCATTATTCTTCAGACTATCCTCAGAGACAGCGTTGATCGTGGTGTACTGAACTATATTCAGATAGCTTTGCAGTAGATTGTAGCGACTCAATTACTACTGTTCAAGGGTAAGCGAAATGTGCCACGCGCTGCCCTACACTCTATCTAGGCATCGTATGATATGCCCCGTACAGCGCCCGTGCTCTGATCGACCGTCTGTGGGGCCTGATCAACAGAAGTGACAGAAGGTCTACCAGGGATTAGATCGCTAGGAGTAGAAAGACTTTATGACTTTTCCTAGAGAACTTGGAATATGTAAGGGTTATTATTACTAGCACAAAAAGGTTTAAAGACTGAAAACGGACGTCTGGGTATTATGTCAATAATCTGGCAGTAGTTACCTTACCTCTCCAGTAGTTAACTGCAAGAAAAGTGGCCCTGCGCCGTGGAGTATGAGTGATGTCATCAGTTTCAGCTTCCGTCGTCACTCATCACCATCTTTTCATCGATATTTTCTTGTGGGAAAAAAGATAATAAAGGAACTCGAGATTGAAAAGAAGAATAATTTAGTATCGTCAAAACATGTCTCTCTGGTAAACTCTAGTAAATCAAACCCAGGTTGTTTAAGCACATTTGGTCGTCGTCATTAGAATCAAGAAAGTCCATGGCGAGGGAGGATCAACCTTGTTGGCTGTCCCGGAAGCATCTCGTTGGCCACTCAAGACTGTCAGGAGACCTCATGATGCGGGGGTACTCGTCTCCCTGCGCTTCGCTCTCGTAGGCTGAATCGTAATTATAAGTATCTTCGCCCTCTTGCACTTCTCTCCTGAATTCAACTTCGAATAAGAAGTAATCTTGTGCATGTATAGTCGGTCCTCTCTCACCTGAAGCAGGCACTATGGCTATTTGTAAGTGTCACCCTCGTCATCGTCCATCATCATCATTCATATCATCACACGGTCAGGTCAATATTGTCAGCTCGTTCATATACTAATGGTGTAGACAATCCGTTCGCCAGGCGCGAATCCCACGGCCGTTATGCGCTGTCGACGTATCGTGTCCTTGTTCCTCTAACATGGCTGCTCGTCGTCATATTTGGTGTCTACTACACTTTGCACTCTCCAGATGATGTCAAGCATGGTCGTAAAATCTTCAAACAGGGACACGTTCACATCACTCCCTTCAGTTTGAACACCACGATTACTGAGATTTACTGGTATGCTTACCTGGAGCAGGCAACATTGTCATACTCTACATGCTAACTACACTCCACTGTCAAGGGTTCTTCTGCTCCTCACGCAGCTCAGCTATGTTTACCATCTGTTCTCAAATGATGGCGCCATCGCCAACGCAGCTGCCAACGTCGGATCTCACTTCATCTTGAACAACCTCTTTACCCTCGCCTGGATCCTTTTGTGGACTCGCGGCCACTTCTGGGCCTCAGAAATCATGCTGGCGGCAAACTACCTCAACCAGCATGCTGCCTACTGGCGTCACCGGGCCCTGCCGACGTTCGTACATCTATCGGCAATTGCAGGCCCCTACGCCTGGACGCTGATGGCACTTTTCTGGAATGGAGCCGTCGCAGTTGGCAGCAATAGTTTCCCTGCGCGTATTGCCGCCAATATCTTCATCTGGTTGATTTTCGCCTTCGGCTCGACCCACATCATGGCAACCCAGGATGACCTCTTGGGCTACTGTCTGACTTTCTTGACTCTTGGTAAGTCTAGCCTACCTTGTATGGGAGAGACACAGAAAGCTGACTCTTTGCAGCTTTGGCCGTCAAGCAACTGGCAATCAAGGTCATTGCGCTACAATGGATCTTTGCCTTTGTCATCTTCGCTGTCTTCCTCGTCGAGTCGATTTACCTCTCTAGCACCAAGTACTCCGGTCGCGACTCGCTATTCCGTAGAATCACGGAGCCCGAGCCTACTGACCGCGAGAGAGAGCCTCTGCTCAACAGTGCCGCCAATCCTTAAAGGAGAAGGGCTGTCGCTGCCTAGCCTCTACAGGACTCCATTTGTACAATTGAATCCAATACTGAGTTATCGGATTTGACAAAGTGGATTGTTATTTTGCAGGAAATTTCACGTCAGCCCTGCCTGCTAATTGTTGATATGCACGATGTCCCACGAGTGTTTCATCTTCTCTCCCCTCTAAATTTGTTCCTCTTCCTTCCAGTCTATTACCCCTTAGTCAAAAGTCCGACAATAACCCAGCTGACTGCCTAGTGCTTATTGAACATCTGCTTGAATTATATGTCTGCTGCGTTGTCCTACGAGATTGCATACCTTAAGTACTGGTGGGGCACTTTGACAAATGCGTCCACGGATGTCGAAGTTTTTATCTTACGTCTAGTCTACAGTATCTCTCGATCCTTCGGCTCATCTAGTTTAGCCTTAATTTATGCTGAGTTGACCGATCTCTTGCCCCGCGAAAGTGGGTTATCAATAGTGGTTGCGGGTGCGTCACCACCTAGCTACGAACTATAAACATCAGGTCAGTAGCTCGGGCATCATCCCACCTTTCCGAAGGATGTGATCATTAGAAATAGGTTATGAGAATCAAGCACTCTTTCCTTGATGTCCTCAAGGTAAAACAAATGAATTTAATCATCGCCTCCCTCCTAATCGATGTCTGGGAACATGCAAGGCACAAGGAACGGGATTTGCGTCGCCCCGCCGGTTGTCAGCTCCAGCCCGCCCGGTTGCCCTGGAGACAATCCATACGCAACAGAGATGCTCTCCACACTCTCGCAATTCCTTGGGACTGTCAATGTGATACCGTCCTTAGCGCTTAGGTCTGAGAGAAAAAGAGTCAATGTGCCTGTGCTCTCGCTTGGAATCCATGTTTTGTTCTTACTCTTAGTGACATTTGTCTATGGTATTGGAAGACATCAGTTTCTCAAGCACACTAGTCTATCCCTCGAACAATTGGTCTTTTGTTTGCTACTAGCTTTTCCACTTGATTACATTCTATAGCTACCGAAACCGCATTGTTTACGACGGGGTATAGCCGACCTCATTATCTCTTTTCGCAGTGAGTTACATTCCAGTGCATAAATCCTATCATCCATCCCGTCGATCGAGTAAACTGACGATTTCTTCACCATCTTACCAGGACACCGACGTGTCGATCCCATCGACGAACTTACCCTGTGTTACTATTCTGAGGCTGAGATCGTCTCGGTTTCTCGCTTCCTATAGCAAAGAAAGCTACGAGTGTCGGTCTCATCGCAAAGTGTCATGAAGGCGTAAACCAGCAGTCATCCCATCCCATCTACCATGAGCTCCAACTCATCGCGAATGTATCCACCCGCGCCAAACTACGAGGAAGAGCCACCGGCATATGGCAACTATGGAGAGACAGCATCCTTCCTCTCAGATCACGATTCTTCACCCCGTCATCAGGGGGTCACCATGCGCCTGTTACCCAATAGCACCGATGTGGATGACGATCTAAGTGTCGATGTGGAAAGGGGTGCAGGTCATCAGTATGGGATTGAGTACTCTGACAATGGATCGTAAGTAATATCCAGGATTTTCTTCTGCTACAGATCTTGTCTCCCCGGAATGTGTCATGACGACCTCCCCGCATGCCGAAGACAATACCGGTATCTGCCTGTTGCCCTTCGTCAGGTTGTTTCCTGCTTTGTATCCCTTGTTTGGACTAGAGTGCAGAGCGCTTTTGTTTGACTGAAACTGGGATTTTGCCTTCTATCTTTTGAGGAAGAGACTGCATGTTCTATTGTTCTCTGCCCTTCTTTTCCTCATTTGCTACCCTTACGTGCTACAAGTCGTGTACGCTCAATGACTGCACATGTTTGATACAAGCAGTCTACCTCGAGCGGCTCAAACTTGAGCGCCATCGATATGATTGACCCGACCCTTCCCAAAATAATTTCACCGAGAAGGCCTAGAGCTAACGTGCAATATGTGCCATATAGCGGAAATGCCAACGGAGGATACAATAGATTCTACGGCTATAATGCTGAAGAATCTCCATCACGGCCTGCTTCGAGTCTAGGAAATGTCCCATCGATCCCTCCACCAGCCGTTTCCGCGGTCGACGTGCCGCAGTATTCATCACGTCCTGCTTCTCCCCTCAGACCCTGGTCTCCAGCGCGCGCGGCGGACTGGACAAGGCCGCCCGCTCCACCGTCTGTCGCCGGCTCGCAGTACGAACGCGCAGATCTAAACGGCAGTCCAAGGCCAGGTACACCCAGCTCCAGATACGGCGGGAGCCCTAGACGCCCCTTGCCACCTGCTCCATTGTTTGCTGGCCCTGGAGCAGCAACGGGGCAAGACACAAGCATCGATATCGGAGATGGCAACGATCCTGAAGATCCGTTCGGAGGAGGAGGAAGGACGATCAACCGACACGAGCACCGTGGAAGCATCCGATCGTTCATGAGCGAATCGACCATGATCACAGATGAAAAGGACGAGATGGCGAAGATCAACCTCAATGAAGACGATGCCGCCGACGTTGACCCCAACATGCACTATGGTCCGGCTCCAGAAAAGCAAAGTCGTCGAGGAGTTCGAGAGGCCCAAATGTCTAAGAAGGAAGTCCAGCTGATCAACGGTGAACTGATCCTGGAATGTAAAATTCCCACGATTTTGCACAGTTTCTTACCTCGTCGGGATGACCGCGAGTTCACGCACATGCGCTATACAGCCGTTACTTGCGATCCAGATGACTTCACTCAGAGAGGCTATAAACTACGCCAACAGATTGGAAGTACCATGCGCGAGACCGAGTTATTCATTTGTGTGACTATGTACAATGAGGATGAAACTCACTTCACCCGCACCATGCATGGTATTATGCGAAACATCAGCCACTTCTGCTCAAGATCCAAATCGAGAACATGGGGTAAAGACGGATGGAAGAAGATTGTGGTTTGTGTTATTGCAGACGGTCGCAAGAAGGTGCATCCTAGGACTCTCAACGCACTGGCAGCAATGGGAGTCTACCAAGAAGGTATCGCCAAGAATATTGTCAACCAGAAGCAGGTCACGGCCCATGTGTACGAATACACGACTCAGGTATCTCTCGACTCAGATCTGAAGTTCAAGGGAGCAGAGAAGGGCATCATGCCCTGTCAAGTGATCTTCTGCCTCAAAGAGCACAACCAGAAAAAGTTGAATTCACACCGCTGGTTCTTCAATGCGTTTGGGCGCGCTCTACAACCAAACATTTGCATCCTTCTGGACGTTGGAACCAAACCCGAGCCCACTGCGTTATACCATCTGTGGAAGGCGTTTGACCAAGACTCGAATGTTGCCGGAGCAGCTGGTGAGATCAAGGCAGGTAAAGGCAAGAACATGATGGGCTTGTTGAATCCGCTTGTCGCAAGTCAAAACTTTGAGTATAAAATGTCCAACATTTTGGACAAACCCTTGGAATCGGTTTTTGGATATATCACTGTGCTTCCCGGTGCTCTCAGTGCGTATCGCTTCTTTGCTCTGCAAAACGATGCCGACGGCAACGGACCGCTTAATCAGTATTTCAAGGGCGAAACACTGCACGGCAAGGATGCTGATGTCTTCACGGCGAATATGTACCTGGCAGAAGATCGTATCCTGTGCTGGGAATTGGTAGCCAAGAGGGAAGAGAGATGGGTTCTGAAATTTGTCAAAAGCGCTGTCGGTGAAACTGACGTTCCAGGTGAGTGCTGCATTTGAATTGTAAGGTCAATTTGAAGCTAACCCATGGCCTCATCAGACACCATACCGGAGTTTATCTCCCAGCGAAGACGTTGGCTGAACGGTGCTTTCTTTGCTGCGGTATATTCCCTCGTCAATGTCAAACAACTTTGGAAGACCGACCACTCTGTTCCACGGAAGATCCTTCTCCAGATCGAGGCGTTCTATCAATTCTTGAACCTGCTCTTTACTTACTTTGGATTGGTATGTAATTTAGTTCCGCTTACTGAACAGGCGCTGACCATCCGCAGGCGAACTTCTACCTGGCTTTCTTTTTCATTGCAGGATCTCTATCAGACGATAGGATTGACCCATTCGGACACAACATGGGAAAATACATCTTCATTGTCCTGCGGTACGCCTGCATCTTGGTCATGTGCTTGCAATTCATCATTTCGATGGGTAATCGACCACAGGGGTGAGTGTCCCGACTATTTAGCAATGGAAAAGCGTGTTACTAACATCCCCAAAGAGCAAAGAAGCTTTACTTGTCGGGCATCATTGTCTATAGTATAATCATGGTCTACACCGCATTCTGCACTCTCTATCTAGTCGTTCTAGAGCTGATGGCGAAGGCTGGCGTGGGCAAGAAAGACCTTGCTGTCAGTGATTCGCTCTTCATCAATATTGTGGTATCCCTGCTCTCCACTGTCGGTCTCTACTTCTATTCTTCATTCCTATATTTGGATCCATGGCATATGTTCACCTCTTCGGCGCAATACTTTGCGCTGCTGCCAAGCTACATTTGCACTCTGCAGGTCTATGCGTTCTGTAACACGCACGATGTGACTTGGGGTACCAAGGGAGACAACAGCATCAACACCGACCTGGGCGCAGCACGTATCATTAACGGAACGACCGTCGAGGTGGAGATGCCCTCAGAGCAGCTTGACATCGACAGTGGCTACGACGCCGCCCTGCGCAACCTCCGTGACCGTCTCGAAGTCCCTCCACCCCCGGTGTCCGAGAACCAGCAGCAAGAAGACTATTACCGCGCCGTGCGTACATACATGGTGTCCATCTGGATGGTTGCCAATGTCATCCTCGCCATGTCCGTCTCCGAGATCTATGGCGTCGACTCGGTTGGAACAAATGTCTATCTGGGCATCATTTTGTGGTCTGTGGCTGTGTTGGCGCTGATCCGTGCCGTCGGGTCCACGACATATGCGATCTTGTTGGTGGTCCAGAAGATCGTTGAGGGCAAGACCAAGTTTGATGCAGGCAATATTGCGAATTCCAACGCTGCTACTTCGAGTTATGTGACGAGCAGATCGACGGCGCAGTATGGTGGTGGGACTAGCTTCAAGGATAAGGTGACGGAGGCTGGTTGGACCATTAAGAGGACGGCAGGAAAGGCTATGTTCTGGAGGAAGTAATGACGTCTGGTGGCTGTATTCCAAATGGTGATGCAGCACTCTACGCTATGAGATATGGGTTTCTATGTTTTTTTTTCCATGTTGGAGTTTGCTCCGCGATACCGCTTGATATGTTGAGTCTTCCAGCTCATCACTTGATTTCCATGTATGTACGTATCTGATGATTGAATGGATATAATGACAGGATGTATGGATGCTTCAATCTGTCTCGCGTAGCGATCTCTTAACTAAGTGCATTCCGCGGAAGCAAATCTCAAAGCCTACATTTGATATCTTCTACTTTCCCCTGCACGATATCCGAAATAAGGCCCGCCGCCGCAAGCGTCTCCTCATCCTTGAAACGCTTGCCTACGAGCTGCAGCCCAATCGGCGCTCCCTCATACCGCTCAGGACGATACTTGGCCCACTCACGCGCATCAACCTCGCTCCGTGGGCGATACCCACCATCCACCGGATCCAACTCCGGATCAACAACCAGGCCACTCGGGAAAACAACACCCGGGTAGTCGAGGATATTCCAGATTGCAGTGTAATTCCAGTACTGCGCTTCGCCCATCACCGCCGCGGCGCCGACGTAGACAGGGCAGAGGATGAAGTCTACGCCGCGGGATTTCATGAGGGCGTGGTACGCGTCGCGGTAGGCGTCGCGCTTGCAGTTCAGGGTCCAGTTCTCGGGGATGCTGAGCGGGGAGGCGCGGCTGTAGGCGAAGGCCCATTCTGTTAGGGGGAGGAGGGGCTCGCCGCTTTGGGAGAGGACGGTGCGTTGGCTGTTGGCGGCGTCAGGGAAGTAGAGGGATGACTTGGCTTGTTAGTTGGTAGAGGCAAGGGACGAGGGGAGAATGAGGAGGGACGCACGATAATCTCCCAGCCGTGGTCGTGGTGGTAGGGTTCCCAGTCTACGACTTTTAGGCCGGCTGCGAGAAGCATTTCTTTGGCGTGGTGCAGGGCTCGGGTGACCGGGGGATGGGGGCGAACGCACCTGTGCATGCGGTTAGTACTGTTGTCTAAGGGGAGAATAGTGGTTAGAGTTTAGGGAATACCCATCATCCCACATGATGCCAACCGTCATATTTTTGGTGGCTTTTACGCGCCTCCAGGGTAACGGGACTAGGGATGTTTCTGTCTCCCATGGCTCCTGGTCGATGACGGCTCGTTGGAAGAGATTTAGATCTTCGACACGTTGGCTTGCCAGCGGTCCGGCGGTGCCGTGGATGGACTCCTGTCCTGAGCCGGGGACTTTGATTCCTGTCGCAGGCATTCGGAGAGCGGTGGGACGGAACCCATATGCACCGCAGAAGCCGGCAGGGGCTCGGATGGATCCGCCAATGTCGGTGCCGACACCGAGAGCGGCACACTTGAAGCCCATTGAGGCGCCCTCGCCGCCTGAGGAGCCGCCGGGTGTGAGGGTGCGGTTGTGGGGGTTCCTTGTGGGACCGGTGAGATTGTTGTCGCAGCAGAGATGCTAAGATGGGTTGAGTATGCGGTCCTTGCAGGTAGACAGAGATTGCTTACCATCAATGACTGCGGCTGATTTGTTCGCACATGGAAAACGGCGCCTGCTCTCTCAAGATACTGGACAAGCAATGCGTCTTCGCTTGCAATGTCATCGACCCTGGGAGCTGTCAGCTGGCGGCTTGGGTTGTTGTACTCGAATCGTACCATGCCACAAAGCCTGCATTGCAGGTTCGACCTTTGATCTCGATATGCTCTTTGACGCTGATGGGAACGCCATGCTACAGTTGGCTCGCCGTTAGGGCCGTTTGCTCTTTCTGACATGGTAGGCCAACCTACCAAGGGCCCAACAAGCTTTCCAGTCCGCTTAAAGTGCTCGTCAAGCTCGTTAGCCCTGGAAATGGCTCTCTCCACCATGAACTCTGTAGCAAAGTTGAGCTATCAGTGTTAGCAAATCCAGATCCAGATTCAAACGTCGCTTCTGGTTGCGCAGCATACCAACTGGTGACCCAAGACAGCTCGTTTGAGAAACGCAATGACTACTTCCTCGGCACTCAGTAGGCCCGCTCCCATACCAGCTACAAGCGCGGTAGCAGACATCTCGGTAATAGAGACTTCTTTATCACTGAGGACGCCGCTCTTTCGAGGAAAGTCCTCGACATTTTTCTGGTGCGCCGGAGGCAGTCTGTGTGCGGGAAGGATCCATTGCTTGGGAACTGAGTTCAGAAGTACGTCTTTAGCACGGCGTGCTCGAATCTCCCAATTCTGTACAGACATGATGTATTAGCCGATTGATATGACGACAGTGTACCCTTTATAGACGGACAAGCAAGAAGTTAAAGTTAGATCATGGGGGACGTGAGAGGAGCATATCTTATACCGCTCTTCGAAGGCGCTACCGTGTATCAGTCCCCTGGACACAGTCCCTAGCAGACACCTAGAAGTCGTTCACGCCAGAACTCCTTGCATCTCGGAATCGGAATGCGGTGACAAATTCCAATCAGGACACATTATCCTTCCCCGCGCCTCCGAGGGAGATAACCATAGATGTTGTTGGAGATACGCCATGGTGGAGATTGGAGAAGCTCCTATCTGCCGAGCGGCTGTTGATTCGAGAGAACCATCAAGCTTTCCCCTCATGGGATTCGTACCATTGGTCCTTTCTTTCAAGCATATCCGCGTGTGGTCATGGGGTCTTCGGCCACCCAGGGCGTATCAGTTTCCTCTTTCATCCATTACAGGTATGGTTATAAGATAGACTTGGCCATTCTGGGCCAAACGAAAAACCAATAGAAAGCATGGGCAACGACTTTGTCCTCCTTCAGGCAGCTGCTAGGCTGAGGATCGTGCAGATTGACATATCTACCGGGCCAGAGAAGAGCATTTCAGTTGCATGGCGGAATCATTCCGCCAGACATGCGGAGAAGGTGGAGAACGAAGATCCAAGCTCGGATCACTACTTTGATCGCATTACTGGAACATTGACGATGGAGAGGGTAGTGAGGAGAGTAATGGCAACTAAGCAGTCTGGTTGTTGCAGAAGAGAAATGGGCTTGTCAGGTGACAAAGAGCATCCCACAGTCCATCTCATCCCTGACATGATTTAGGCTTACAAGGATCCGCTGGGCCTATCCATTCTATGCCCCAACACGACATTTTATTGCCTTCTTCGCTCCTCAAATTCTGTCTACCACTGCCAGTGACAATTCCTGTGAACGCAGCATCTGCCGAAGAGCAACCGATTGAATGCCATACTTCTGACAACACTCGTTGACCATGCTGGTCAGCTTGGTAAATCCTGGGACATGTTGATCGGTGACGAGCACTCCAATGACGGCTAAGGACTTGTGCTGGCTGATATGCCACACATTGATTTCATGAATCGACAGCACTCCCTGAATCTATGCAAGTCACTGTCAGAGCGGAGATGACATCGGAGTAATACAACATCACTTACCTTTTCCAGGTCACTTCTTAGGTCATTGAGATCAATGCCAGATGGTGCACATCCCAAGAGAATTGATCCGGTCTTCCGCACTGAAAAGCGTCAGCACCACCTAACAACTCCTCGGATGGAGGACAACATACGGAGCGGAAGAGAAGATAGTATGATTATGAAGGCGATCCATAAACTTGCTCCCGGATCAGCGTAGTATCGTCCTTCATATTCTGTGAACCAGATTACCAGTGCAGCAATCATAACGCCGAGATTGTTCACTGCATCTCCGATGACATGGAGCAAAACTCCTAGCATTCCAACATCACGGCAACTGGATCCTGTCCTCTTGGGCGGAAGCCTTATACTGCCCTGCATCGAAGATTTAGCTGAGCTTATGCAAATCCCAGAAATGGTGGGAATAAGGGCAAATCTTTGGTATCCGTACCTCGTCATCGGTTCTTATGGACGAGTCTGTCGACGCATCTAACGCGTGTCGATGGGCATGGGAACTCTCCTCTAATGCTTTGACATTAGCAACGAGACTGCGCATCCAGAAAGACAAGCCTGCCGTGAAGAATAACAGCACTGAGGATATTGAGACCCAAGCCAACGCATCCAACAATGAACATGAGTCTGGGATTCTCGATCTCTGTAAAATATCAGTGAATCGCCTGCGCGTTGAAGGCGGGCACGAACTATGCAATGATATAAATCTCTCCACAGCCTGCAATAGAATGCTTATTCCCAGCGCAAAGAGAAGCGCTCCGTTGAAGAAAGCTCCCAGTAGTGGTGCTCGCTGCCACCCGAAGGCCAGAATCTTCGGTGGATCGTCGATCTCAGAAAGCTTTGTTTGCTGTGTCAGTGCTTCTATGCTCTGCGTTCCTCAAGGCCATTATCTCACCTTCAAGGCCAACAAGGCGACAACGAACCCAATCAGGTCAGTCAACTGAACCGTTCAGCAGATGTCACCCGGAAGATAAAGCAAAGCGTACATAGTGAAAGGCATCTGCCACCAGAGCCAGCGAATGAGTGTACAAGCCAACTGCTGATATCAGCTTTGAATCCCAGGATTCGTTAATCTGCACAGAGGACAAATACTTGAGATTTCAGTCAAGAAGAAACATGATGATATCCCGATCACCATGATCAAGCGCTGTGAGCGCGATATCCCCAGAGCCATCTTCGGAAGTATTGCTCCAACACTGCTCAGATCGAAGTATTGAAGAAAGGAGTCGTATGCTAATAAGGGGAAGACTAAAGAGACGGCAAACCCTTCTCACATCCTTCCTCGCCTGCGTCTTGTGTAACTTTTCATGCCTCGGGTATCTGCAGAGTTGTGCAGAGAGTGTCGCCGTTCATGACTGAGGCCTCGTGATAGTGTGCGACTTTATCCGGCCGGAATTCAGAGGAGAACTAGTATGCTAAATATTCCTTCCACAGCAGGAGAACATGCAGCTCTGCTAGGTCTTGTTTACTTGTTGCTCCTAAGTATTGTCTAGTCAACGGCAGAACATGCAGCTCTGCTCAGTATTAAAGACTAATCAATTGCAATGAGCATAACCATGATCGCCTTGTATCCTACAAAAGGACTTAAGCGGCCTTCATCTACTAAGCTGGCTAACCCTTTCTGCCAGTTCCCGTGTCTCGAAACCTGCCAAATGTTTCTATCCGGGAAATGGGGTCGTTCCGTTCATACAAGGCTAGAGTCTGGGATAGGAGAGCTTCCGGCCTACAAAAGAGTGCATAGTAGATGATATGGAGGCGATTGCTGAAGCAACTATTATTTGATATGGTATAATCGACGAGAATGAACAGATACATGCAAAACCGGTCAATGCTCGCACAAGTTAAACTCTCCCATTTCAAAGTCCCGGTTCTGTTCCTGCGCCTTGTTGGAGCGCTCCTCCATCAATTCCTTGCGGTACTGCTTTGCCTCCTCCAAAGTTATTGGCGTAGCTTCGAGACCCTCATTGACCATATTCTGCAACTCAGCCGGGAGTCTCTCACTCAGCAATTTCCCGACAACCTCCTGCCGTTCCTTCCACCAGTCCTCCTGCTGAGGTGGCACATTCGCCGAAGAAATAATCGAGAGATGGGGGTCCACGAGGAAGAAAGCGAGGATCTTGCGATGGCCTGGCTTGGTCCGATCTGCCAGCGCAAACGGCGACACCTGGTGCTGCAGGCTGTTTGGGAAGGTGAGCAAGCGTCCTTGACGAGTGTCCACGCTGCCTAGGACTTGAGTGACATTGCCCTCGTTCCAAGCCGCCTCATTATCCAAGCCAAAGATTACCTGGAGGAATTCGTGTCGCGATTGGTCATAGGAGATATATGAGACTTCTTCTGTATCCGCCCGTTGCCGGAACGCGAGTCTGCTGTCGGTGATGTTCTGACTGTCGTAGTAGTAGATGGCTGACGCGCAGATATGCTCATTCTATGTAGGTTAGTTTGAGCTCCAGCCATCCCGGCAAAGAAACATACCAGTTGTCCCTCGACGTGCCACGATCCGCCTTCGTACTCGGGCTTCTCCGGTGTCAGCTCGATGTTGGCCAGCTTGACGATCACTTGCAATCCTCTCTCGGCAAAGTCCTTGTGCAGGTTGATCTGGTTCTTGGCCTCGATTACACGGGGAGCGAACTCGCCCGGTTCCGGGCGTCGGATGGGCTCTCGCTTTTGCCATTCGTCATATCGTTGACAGTATTCGTCACTATACTCGTCTTCCTTGTTTGCTGGCTGCGGCTCCGGCTCGGGATGCTCGTCATATTGGACTTCATCGTAGGGGATTCGCTTGTACTTATCCCGGACGAGGGTCAAGGTCGTGTTCCACAGCGGGATGGTCTGAGTCAAGATCTTCTCAATGACTTGGTACAGCTGGCGATGCTTGTTCGGATGCAGGTTATTGATATACGACGCAATGCGACATTCGCCATTGTCAGTGAAATGCACGTCACAGGGAAGCCACTGGAATTTGCGGCTGTAGGGTCGATGAACACTTCGCCAGTCGCGGTCGACAGTAGCAGTAGCTTCCTCTTCTGGAGGAACTGCAAGTATCTTGCCCTCTCCGACATGATTCAAAAAGTCCTCGAGACCAATCAGTTTCCTATGGAGAATGCGCGTCCGGCCGTAGATGACAGGGAACAGCGACGGATGGACCAGGTCAACCACCTTGTCGTCCGATCCAGGATGGTAGTCTTTGAGCCCTTCAGGCACATCCTCCAGGGGCTGAACAGCATCTCTCAGCGCCTGTCGCAAGTCTTCACAAATGGCAATATCAGATTTGACCACGCCAGCATCGAATGCGACGACGTGCTTGGTGTCCTGGAAGACCTTGGCTTTCCACTGCGCCTCCTTGATGGTCCAGTTCATCATATTGGGAGTGATATCCTCTCCACTGTCCATAATTTCCTTGCGCCATTTGGCAGTAATTTCTTCATCAAAGACCTTCATGTAATGTCAGTCATGCTCATTCAGGGAAGAAAGCAAACACACCTTTTTCTCCCAGTCCAGCTTGTCGGTAATGGAGTTGAGCGCTCGCATCATCAATATCTCCCGATGGGTAGTCAAGCGCCTGCATCTTAGCTTCAGAACAATTAATCGTGTTGATGAGCAACCTACTCAGCGAGACTAGTCTCCAGCGCATTAGGGAACATCTCAGGAGCTCCCGGGCTCCAATTCAAGGGGATGGAGTAACCCGGTAAGTCGAAGCGCGTTTTTCCAGACTCCATTGTCATTGAGCGCAATTGTATGCGAGGAAGTGGCCTGAGAATCTTCAGTACCGAGAAGACTCTGTTCATATTATGTGTGATGATATTTATACGGAGAGTATCAGAGATCGGCGCGCGTTGCGGGTTTAGGCAACCGGCTGCTGCCTCGGAATTCAGGCGGGGAAGTTGGCAAATACGAGATACTCCCTCAAGAGGTACCAGTCAAGACAAAAGTGCTGGTCAACTGGTTGATTCTATGTGAAGTCATGAACGTGCTGAAGCGTATGGACGACTCGCTCAGGGGCTGGCATGGCTCTAACGTATGATCTCTGTCGCAACTAGCATTTACTCGGCGCACAAGAGCTACCCCTATGAGAATGCCCAAGTAGATTAATCAAGGGAACGAAGGACCATTGTTCTTATACCTCTCATCGACAATGCGAAGCGCGAACCATTGATCCAAATCAGAGATCTCGACTCCATAGTCAGTAGTAATGTGCTGCTCATCGTCCAGCTCAAATCAGCAACCTTACCCGTTTCACTTCACACATTACGATTCACCGTCTCCTGTACATTCGTATCTCTCAATACCAGAGCTAAGCATTGCTCTCCGCAATTCTATTTACGAAAACCCTGTCTAACTGCCGTAATCAGGCCGGCTCCAGAGTGATGCAATCCGCGCGCGACGACACCTCCATCTGCTTGCATTTCCTTGGACGGAGTGCCTTACCTCACCTGGACTAAGTGTAGCCGACTAACCCACTTGCAAAGCAACTTAGTGGGGACAGCATACTGCTTATAAGGTAGTCCAATTTCCATACCCCTGGAGAATGGCTCACGAACACCAATAGCTGAATACCCCGGTTATGTTCGTCGCGACGGATTCGATGGCCTTAGCCCGGGTATTGAGAGATTGATGAAGTCATAATTTATCTCTCGACTTATCTGGTCGTATCAGAAGAGTTATGGGTGGTAGACAACATGAGGGTTCTGGCGGTAGATGTGGTATCGTGAATGTATATATGGGTAGTTCTATATATGTAGAATGAGATATACACTGCACGGCATTCCCCAAGAGGCTGCTCATGCCGCAAAGATGCGAAAGGTATAGAACAAAGCCACAAGTCTAGTATGAACTGAATCTACATGTTGTCCTCGCTCCAGCGGCTCCTCGCCTTCATCCACGCATCGTGCTCGCTCTTTCCCTCCTGGACGGTCTTGCCTACTCCTAAGCCGCGCTCAACCCAGTCCTTACTGCCCATCTCGGATAACCGCGAAAGGGCACGAGCGAACGCAAATCGTTCCTCGTCACCGCTGAAAATGGAGGTCGATTTGAGGGCTTGCACTGACAATCCCAGATCGTCCATCATCATGCGCATGGCGTCTGAGAGATCGGAGTGGTCCCCGTTTTCTTCTAGGGAGGATTTGACTTCTTGCTCGGACATGAAGAGGTTGGTGAGTGGGACGGCTGTGGTGAGGACTAATTTGGCCTGTTGAGACAAATATTAGCCGTCGCCTGACTTGGGCAAAAACAAAACGGTAGAGCTACTCACCCTGCTCTCATAGACGGCGTCAATAAAAGTGATGAATCGACGAGCCAGATCGCGTTGCTGCAACGTCATCCCTGGAACATCCGTCACGATGAAAGCTTCGTAGTTCCGCACCAGCTCCAGGTAGTCCGCCGCTCCCGTTGCGCTTCCGATGAGCTCCTGGAAAGTGAAACGGGCCGCCTTTCCGCTGGCCGAGGGAACCTTGATCTTACGGCCCCATACCTCTTGTGTCTCCGGGTGAGGAGGGTCATTGGGATCGCCCAAGAATTCGTACCACTTCTGCGCGTGGCGATCAGCTTCAGGACCGAGCGGGTGGTGGTACACGGCCGCTGGTGGACGAGGGATTTTGCGGTAATCGGTCGGCGAATTCAAGTTGATCACGGTCAAAGCAGTCTTGAGAAGATTGATACACGGAATGAAGGATTCTCGTTGGATACCGTTCTTGTACAGATCATCGGGATGACGGTTCGAGGTTGTCACGAGCACGACGCCGTGAGACATGAGAGATTCAAGTAGTCTAAAAGGTGTCAGCCGAGGCCTCGCCTTAAAATGCTCCAGGTACATACCGCCGCAAAATCATCGCATCAGCAACGTCCGTACACTGAAACTCGTCGAAACACAACACGCTCGACAACTCTGCGATATCCGCCGCCACCAAAGGCAGAGCGTCAAAGTCATTACCGTACTGCATCTTCACCGCGTGCATGCGCTTATGTACATCCTGCATGAAGTTGTGGAAATGGATGCGCGATTTGGACTTGATGTTGGCTGGCAGGGTCTCGTAAAACAGATCCATGAGCATTGTCTTCCCGCACCCCACATCACCATACATATACAATCCCTTGGGGAGATTCTCAGGGATCTTAGTCTCCGCCTTTGCGCTCTTGCGCCCAAACAGCGAGCCGAAGAACGACGACTTGGGTTTCGGA